CCTGCTCCTCCTCCACCTGGCAGGTTGTCCTTTAACACCCACACGACCTTCCTCAACACCACTGTCTCCACCTTCATCCCATCAGGGGCAACATCAAGTCTGACAAGCTCCAGGAGGTGCTGGCCAGCAAAAAAACACACGAAGCAGCCCAAACTGGGATGCAGAGAAGCTCCTGGCCCCAAAGGTGCCAAGGTGGCTGGGGATGGTCAAGGGCTGTATGCACAGGAAAGGTCACAGTTGCCACACCTGGTTTTGGGAGCTGTGGAAACCACCACCAGGATGCCAACTGCCTGTCCTTTGCCTTCCAGCAATCATCTCCCCTCCACTTCATGTGGTTTCTGCCACCCTGCATCTCACCAGGCTTGTTGATCTCTTCCAATGCCCCCTTCCTGTTCCAGGGTAAGGATCTGCAGGCAAAGCATAACCCAGAGCCAAAAAAAAAGGGGTCAAAAGAGTGAAAGGCTCGTTCCCTGCAGACATGTAAATGTGGGTGACTGACTGTGGGTCAGGCAGCTGGAGAAGTGACCCAGTTTATCACATCCTGCTGCCCTGCCAAAGCCATTTAAACACACTGCTGGCTGCCAGGCTGCAGCCTGAGGAGCAACTGGCCTGGCCAGCACAAAGCCACAGGCTTGGAGCAAAATTTAGGCATAAGAGCCAAAAAAACAAAGGACAAAGGTGACTGAGGGGGGAAGAGTGTAAAAAAAAAAACCAGAAAGCGTGCAACATTCAGAGTTTCCAGCTCTGCCCTTTTCCCTCAGCCACTGGGGAAAACAGCCCCAAATATTTAACAGGCCACTCACAGAGCGTGGTCCAAAAACTACATCAGCTATGGCAGAGCCCAGCACAGGCTCTGTCCTCCAGCCTGAGCAGCACAGCCCCAGAGCTGTGCTGAGGCAGCCCCAGCAGCTCTCAGCTGATGCCTCACTGCAGCTGGCCTGAGCTTCCCTCTCCAACTTGGATGAAGTTTTTGGGTCAGTGGTTTGGGGTTTTATTTTGCTCTGTGATGATCAAGTCTCTAACATTCACATTAAGGAGTAAACACCCCCCCCAAAAAAAGCAGAATAACAGAACCAACCCAAAGGCCTGTGTGGGGAGGAGGCATTGCTGGCTGACAAACCCAGCCACCAAGCAGGAAGGTTGATCTTGGAGTTGACACCATGAGAAGTTGACACCATTGTCACCAACAAACTAAAGCAAGACTTGAGAACACTTAAGCAAAAAAAAAAACTCATTGAAGGAATACTTTTAATAAGAACAACTTAAAACCAGCCATGGCTTCATGCTGCCTTCTTCCTTACCCCAGCAGAAGCTGGGGCTTGGCCTTAGCTTTTCAAGGAGACAGGTCTTTGCAAGCAAAATAACCACCCAAAGAAACAGCAACAGTCTCACTTTGGTGTTGCAAATTCAAAGCAGGCAGCCTAGAAAGGTTTTCCAGCTAAAGGAGTTCCAAGCATGACAAACGTGTCCCAACAACACTCTGGCTGCAGGAAATATACTTCATAACTACAACCCTCCCCTCCTCCTGCACAGGTAGAAGAGCCACTGGGTTCAGGAGACTGGAAATGCAAGGCCCAGCTCCACCAAGGGTGTCCTCACTCTTCCTTCCCCTCTTCACCAAGAACAGGAGGCAGAACCACATCAACATCCCAGCAGCTCCTCTCACTCTGGCACAACTGCTGACACACAAGAAGAGATCTTACCAGGAGACAGGCAAGGGACACAGGCAGAGCAGCCACTCACCCCAGTCTCACAGGAATGGGGTTGCACCAGTTTGGAGGAATGGAAAGGTAGGAGACAGGAAAACAGCTTCTACTACTCCCCTCAAGCACTGCCCAACAGAGAGAGCCCCAGCACCCTGCCAGGGCAGCACAGGCAGGGAAGAGTTCCCATCAGGAGCTGAGCAGCAGCTCCAAAAGCCAAATCAAGACACAAGCCAACAAAGAGTCCAGTCTCTGAACCACCAGGCAGTGCACTCCTTCCTCATCTGCTTGGCAACTACCAAATAAAAAGCCTAAAGATTAACCAAACATAGAAATCCAGATGATCAGCATCCTACAGCAAAAGAAAAGAGGGGAGAGCAAAAAAATATGTTGCAGAGTGAACAGATAGAGAGAATCAGACCAGCAGTTGTGTCATGTTGCCCCACGAGCAGCAGAGGAAGACACCACACTGCTGAGACCCATCTGAACCTTCTTATTTCTACAGGAGATGAGATTTGAGTGCTTCAGACCAGCTTCTTTCCAGTCCCCAAGCATCCTGCCCTTCTCCATCAGGCAATCTTGGCCAGCCACTTCTCAAGGCCTTCAAAGTCAGCATCTCCCTCCTCTCCCTTGCTGCCCCGAGCGCTGCACTCCACGAACTCCACCTTCATGGGCAGCTGGGAGAAGTCAAAGTCCTTGCCCTTCTTCCCCAGCTGGGCAGGGCCCCCCGTGCCAGAGCCATCCAGGCTGCTGGGGGCTGCGGAGCGGGTCACTCGCAAGGTGTTCCTGGGAGAGGGAAGGGAAAGGGTCAGGGGCTGCCAGCCAGGGGGACATCCCCTCCACCACGGCTGCTGAGATGGGCAGCAGGCCAAGGAAAGAAGGTCCCACAGCTCCTCCTGCCAGGCACAGGCACTTTGGCTGACTTCTCCTGAATCCCTGCTGGAAGACACCACTGCAGAGAGGCTCCAGAGAGCAAGACAGAGAGGAGGTCACTCAAGGCAGGTTTTGGAGTAAACAGTGATGATGTCCTCATCTGAATGTCCCCAATATCCTCCAGTCAGACACCAGTCAGCAGGAGTTACCCAAGATTTAGCCCACAGTGTTCAGTGCTGCACTAGTGGAACAAGTTAACTGGGAAGAGAGAGGCACCCATGATACCAGGGATCATGGAGGGGCTCACCCCACTGCCATGGGAGTGGGCCAAGGGCTTTTTTGGATTGCCCTTGGCACACTCCCATGTGTGTGATTGCCTTTTGAGGCCTCAAAAAGCAAGGCTAGGCAAGCCAAGGAGCTGCACCAGGCAGCTTGTGAGCCTTTGACTGCCTAGTAGAGCCTCATGGATGGAGAGCTCCACCTCACCTGGCAGTGACCTGCTCTCCATCAGCCCCAGCCACTCCTCATTCACAGGATGGATGTAAATTCATGGGACACAGGGACAGAATACTGCCCAGAGGTGCAAGTTCAGGAACAAGCAGCCATTTCCTTGGGTTCTCCACACAAGGACAGCAGCACAGGGAGGAGGATGGCAGCAACGGGCAAGCAGGAATAACACTGCCCAAAAAAACTCATAGAACCCACCTATAAACTCAGCTTCTACACACAGATAACTGACAAATGCCCCACATCAGAACTGAGGGATCCTTATTTTCTTGGAGAGCAAGAATATGTGGCAACTAACTCCTCCCTTAAAAGGAGGAAGGTCAGGCATGCAGCCTGGGAAGAGGCCCCAGCACACAGAACCCTGCTGCCTTCTACTGGCCAAAGAGGTTATAGAATCACAGAGTCACTGAGGTTAAAAGAGACCATCACAGGGATTAAATAGAGCTCAAAAAATCCTGTTCTGCTTGTCCCTCCCCAGATGGATTTGTCACCTGGCAGCTGACAACACCACACAGTCTAGAAGCCACTTTCTCCTCCTGATTCCTCTTACAACTATGGCAACAGACCACACATCCTTTGTCCTCCCAGGTTAATGTCCTTCCTAGTGAGGGATGCAGAGGCAACACAGTCTCCTCTCACCCCAGTTACACCTACACAGACAAAACAGACTGATCTTTTCCCACTATGAACTTTTCAGTGGTTCAAGGGAGCTCACTGAGGTAAGAGAGGAGATGAGAGAAGCTCAGAAGGTTCATGATCCAAGCTCATACTCACAGCTCTTTCTCCAGCTGCTGCTGAATAAGTTTTGCTGATTTTGCCATTGTGACATCTGGAGAGAGAAAAGAAAAGGCTCTTGGGTTTTCTGTCAGCATTCAGAACCTGGCTCCTCCTCCCCAAGGTGCAGTGAGGCCTGTCCAGACTGTGCAGTGTAAGAGCTGGCAGGGCAGGGGCTGTGTCTGCACTAGGATAAGGGCCCCCAGAGCTCTGGGTTTGCAGGGAGCCACCCAAAAGTTTGATATAATGTAGGGGATTAATTTCTTCTTGTTAAGCATTAAGTTGCTTGAAGCAGAGGATGGGGTTTGATGTCCCACCCACAAGGCCCAGCACTCTCCACTGCCCTGGGATCAGAGCTCAAGGCAGAGCTGTTTAACCAGTGGCACGTGGAGACACGAAGGTGTCAGACAGCTCTTGAACCAGTGCACAAAATAACTAAAAAAACCCAAATCTGACATTACCCAGAGGCTTCAGATTGTTATACAGGGCTCCACACCCTCACTGCAAAAGCTGCAGGGATCTGAAAACCTAGTAACTGGATGATCCTGCTAGCACTGCAGAGAAAATCCAAAATCTTGGCAGCTAAACGGTGGTCTGAGGTTGCCCCTGAAGCCACTGAGTGTGCACAGACAGCTGACCCCATCTCCTGCTGCCTGCAGACCCAGGGAGACAGCTCTGCACAAGCAGCCACCTGCCTCACCGAGGGCTGAGAAGCTGCCGCTCTCCCGCGTGGCGCTCCTGACCTGAGAACCTTCCCAACACTCCAGCCCAGAGCTCCCCACCTCAGCCTCCACTCCTGGGCTGCAATTCCAGCTGCTGGGAAGTCGAGCAGCCGTGGCAGGAAGCCCCAACCCTGCAGGGCTGGCTGTGTGTGTCCCCCTCCCCACCCCCCAGCACCTTGCTTGTTGCAGGCGATGAGCAGCGCGGGCGCGTTGCGGAGCACGGTGCCGTCCACCAGGACCTGGTAGAGGAACTCTGCCACGTCCTTCACCTCCCTCTGGAAGGCCACGCTGTCCACCACGAACACGATGGCCCTGGAGCAAAGAGGGGAGAGCGTGGGCAGGGCCTGAAGCTCTGCAGATGCTTTCCCCTGCAGGTTTTCCAGCCTGGGCTCACAGGCTCGTTTCCAGGATCCATCTCGGCTGAGCCGAGAGCAGGTGGTGGCTGGAACACACCCCACGAGCAGAGCCTGGAAATCTTCCCCTCTCTCTGCCCTGTGGATAGGCCACAACCCCCAATCCCTGCCCCCTGCAGCTGCTCGGCCTCCCCATGCCCTCCAAACACAGCTCAGCAGAACAACAGCTCAGCCCTGCTACCCCATGAGCTCTAACTCTCAGGGCAACGCCACCCAGAGGGAATCCAGCCCAGCTCACAGCACCCCCAGCACCATCCTGGGATTCAGCCCTGGCCAAAATACCACCTGCCCTCCCCCCTTACACCAACCTCCACCCAGTTACCTGGCTGCAGCTTTGAATTTCTCCAAGAATTGAAGCCTCAAGGTCTCGTGGCCTGGGAGGTCGATTAAGGTCACGTTAGAGCTCTGGGAACAGAAGCAAGAATCAGCAACACCTACCACGGGGTACTCGTGATCACAGGCTGGGGAAAAACAGGCTGGGAGTGGATCCTGCTTAGCCTGGACCCCAAAGGAAAGGAAGTGTCTGAGCTCCTTCTCACCCACAGTACCCCTGGGACCACCACCACGCACAGAGTGCCCGTCACAGAGCTGCCCCAGTCCCCCTGCTGCCACACCAGCAGGTTTACACTGGCCACCACGCACAGAGTGCCAGTCACAGAGCTGCCCCAGTCCCCCTCCTGCCACACCAGCAGGTTTACACTGGCCCTGGCAGCAGCCTCTCTGCTCAGCAAAACCACCAACTCCCATCCTGGCAGGTCCCTGATACAGAATCCCAACTCCACCGTTTGTGAAGCAAGAGAACTGCTCACACACAGAACCCACCCCCCTGAAAACAAACCTACAGAGTGCCAGTCACAGAGCTGCCCCAGTCCCCCTCCTGCCACACCAGCAGGTTTACACTGGCCCTGGCAGCAGCCTCTCTGCTCAGCAAAACCACCAACTCCCATCCTGGCAGGTCCCTGATACAGAATCCCAACTCCACCGTTTGTGAAGCAAGAGAACTGCTCACACACAGAACCCACCCCCCTGAAAACAAACCTAAACACTCCAAAACGCTGCTGGGAGGAGCACAAAAAGCAGCCACGCTGGAGAGCAGCAGTGCCTCTGGTGCTCCTGGCCGAGGGGAGGCCAAGCAGGGCCACGTCACCTTTCCCGAGAGAAC